TTTCAACCATTTTCCAAATCAAGAAAGACTTGAAGCACATTAGATTTTAGGCGAAGAGGGTAATACCAGGTATAACGAGTGAAATGATCAACATGAACTTGGTAATAACAATAGCCATCAATGGAAGAAACAGGAGCAGGGCCCCAAACATCAGTATATAACAAATCAAAAGGTCGATCACTCGATAAGGAGGAAATGGAAAATGGAATTTTATGACTTTTATTCAAAGGACAAGCATCACAAGGAGAGCTATCTAAAGTGGTAGAAACTGGAAGAGAGTTTGACCGAATGAGGTTGGTAAGAGATTGGTGGGAAGGGTGACCAAGGCGAGCGTCCCAGAAGGATGCGGATGTGCGAGTTGTCACCAGGGCCATTCGAACATGCTCCACTTCTCGCAGAAGCTCGTAGACATCACCGTTGTTTTCCCCACTTAGCAGGTGCGCCTGCGTGCGAAGATCCTTCACAAGAAAATGAGTGTCAAAGAATTCCACAGAGACTGAATTAGTTTGACATAATTTAGCAACGAATATGAGATTCCTCTTGATACTAGGAACACATAATATGTCTTGTAAATGTAATGAATGAGAACCAACAGAAACAGTGGAAGATCCAATATGGGATATAGCCAAACCTGATCCCAGAAGTAGAAGAAGAGCCCTTGATGGTTGTATGGTGAACCTGCCCCTGATGGCTTGATTAAAGGCCTGTCGGGCTTGAGGGAAGAGACAAAAACAATGTCTCACATAGTGGCTCGGTTTTTTGAAAAATTGACAAACAATCTGCCCCTTGCGTTGTGGACTGGGCTCGGCTGCACCATGTGGGCCGAATGGGGGCAAGGTTGCGCATTTGAGAAAGAGCGCTAGGGTCTCCACCAAAACCCTGCGACGGCAGGTGGCGTGGAGGAGGGCGAGGGAAGAGACCGCCTCTGTTGTTACTTCCGACTCCACCACGACAGGTCGGACCTTGGGAATAAAACATCGTCGGAACAGCAAAGGCGCGACTTTGAGCTTTTAGGTCGGCTTCGAATTCAATAAGGGAGCCGAGGAGCTCTTCAATGGTGACGACAGTTCCGCGAGCACGGACAACGATAGAAAACTGGCTATACTCTGCCACAAGACCACGGAGGCAATACACAACAAGATCCAAATCCTTGAACAGTTCACCAATGAGGGCAAGCTCAACAGTAGTGAGTTTCAAATCATTTACATAAGATATAACATCTTGATCTCCTTAGTTAGGGCCAACCAATTCCCTTTTAAATAGATAATACGAGATTGGGAACGGATGCCATACAACTTTTCTAAAACCAATCATGCTTCTCGAGATGTAACAACAGCAGAGACGATAGCAGCAACGATACACGAGATTGGGCTTGGTGGTGTTGTTTGCTGTGAGCGTTTGAGCAGGGGCAACACCGGTTCCATCAATGAAGGAGATGAGATCCATTCCCATTAGCAACGTCTCCCATTGCGATCTCCAGCAATGGAAGTTGATCGATGTCAGCTTCATATATAACTTCGCCGTCGGATTGAAGGTAATGATCGAGTCTTCGGCATTGATTCCAAAGCCATATGAAACTGATGAGTCGGACATGGCGAAATAGAGGAACAGAAAGACGAAACAGAGTTGTATGGGAGAAGAAAAAAAAGAAGGATAAAACTGGATCGTGGCTAGCTATGATACCATGTTAGAGTTTTAGAATAGAAGTTGTTGTGGAAATTTGACTTGATTTTCATTGATGATGTACAACGTTAATATACAGGTAGTAGGGAGAGTTTCTAACAACAGAAAGTTGCCCTGTATCTCCAGTAACTCACGTCCCACAAAAGAATGAACAGAAAAGAGAATAGTAAAAATACATTTATTTTGTTTCTCTAATAGTGATTCTACTCCGAAACCAAAAAGAAGAAACAGATGTACTCGTTTCTCTCCCTCTCGTTCTACTCTTCTCCTTCTCATTTCTCTCCCTTTTGGGGTTATGTTTTAATGTATAAAGTTTTTTTTAATAGCTTAGTGATTAACTGAGAAGATTATAGCTTTTAATTCACTATTGTTTATGAGTTTTAAAACGATATCTATATTTTTTGAGGGGTTGAATTTTTTTGCTGGAGAGGTTGAAGAAATCTTATTTTGATGGTCTGTTTATGGACCGAGACATGATTATAGAGGTTAACACAAATCTTTTTAGACTATGATTAAAAGTAATAATAAGCCTAATGTGTCCAATAATAAACAAAGAGTAAAATGAATTCTATTAAAACGAAGAAAAGAAAAAGAAAAAAAGGAGGTTAGTTTTGTTGTCAGCTGGGCGAACGTGGTGGGTCCCAGGATCGTTAATGGCGGAAAAAGGTTGGTCTTGGACTTATTCTCTAACCACAAAACGACAAATGGGTCCTTTTTAAGTCGCCTGATACCTCCCTCCCATCACGCCTAAATGCTTCCCCCTCCACTTGCGCTGGGTCCCGCCCTTTTTAATTACTTAAAATAAACCCCACTACTACTATTCATTTATCTTAATAATGATGCATAATCACGCTTAGGTCTTAATGAAGTCATCCTAATTAACTAAAGAACAAATTATAAACCCGGAGCCTCTCTTCTTTTTTTTTATGTGAAATGATTAAACTCTATACTACAGATAGCTTCGATCCACTATGCATACCATTTTTTTTTTTACAAAAGATAATCATATATTGATAAGGAAACAAAGATCATTACATCATATGCCTCAACCAGGCCACAAAATCATATGAACGACTCGCTATCGGGTACAAAGAAAGAACCTTTCTAGCCACCAAATGAGATACCGTATTATTACGCCGACCTACGAATCGAACACTAAATCCCACATGCTCCTCCAAATATCGTAGCACCTCCTGAAAGATGGCGCCCGCTCGACTATCCTGAGCCTGGGAGTGATTTAGCCTATTGATCACCACTTGAGCATCCCCTCAAAACGCACCATATGAAAACTCTCTGGCGGCACCACAGAATCGCTTCACATAGAGTCAAAAGTTCCACTATCATCGGGTCATCCACCCCCAAAAATGGACAGCCATGCCCGAGATGAGCGCCCCACCGTGATCCAGGATGACCCACTATGCACACCATATCGCCACAGTTTATCCAAGTTTTCTTGTGCATATTGCTAAATGTATCCATTGCCAACAAGACAACAACAGTATCTAACTCCTCGTTACAAATGATCACACAATATCAATAAATGACTGACATTAAAGTAAATTCGATATATTCACATGGACAAGGATCCAACCTCTGAACATCGTGGTTAAAAGACGAAGCAATCACCCACCTCACCACTAGTGACAACAACACCTATGCTTTTATTACAAGCGTACGATACGTTAATGAGATGGAAATGGAAGTCAAAATTTTGCCTTTACTTATCCCAACTGCCCCCATAAATTCCAACCACTTCCCCTGCCTTCCGCTTGCATGCCTTGCGCTTTGCGGAGGGAGTCTATTATTTATCCTTCGACTGATATTTTAACTTCTACAAAAGCAGCGTGGTGTTCGTCGTATCAGCTCAAACATTACTATTCCGCGCGAGAAGTTGTATAACTCTATTGGAGGTTACATCGAAAAAAATTAATAATCAGGGATATCTTGTGCTTATATTGTAGTACAATTGTTTCATACCGGTAAAATCGTCTTTCGGTTTGGTCTCTGATAGATGAGTTTTCTTTTCTTCCAATTAGAACGTCGGTACGATACGATTTTACAACGATGACTGTTCAGTCAGCTCTTTCCAACTAGCTATTTCGGTTAAGGGTGGGTATTGGTCAGTTTTTGTCACGAATCATCTTGATAAGAACGAACAAAAAATAAAGAGAAATGAGGATTGGAGTCGGGCAAAAAACATGTTTGGTTCATTTGATTCGGTTCAGTGCAAGTTCATATTCGATAGACTTTTCTTCATATTTTAGATAATTCACAGGATCGAAATATATATTTCATCCAATTTTATTCAATATGAATATCGATTTTGTACGGCTCGATCTAAGTATGGATAGACTCGATCTTGGCCCATCCTTAGCTACAGTGAGTTAAGATTTCAACCATGGAGAGAAAAAGACAGATTTACTGATTGGTAATTATCTTTCAATTAGTATAATCTCATATATTACAACTTGCAGAGACATTAATTAACCATTTTTTGTGGAGGAAAAAGGCAAAAGAACCCCAAATGCCATGCATGTGATCCTGCCCTAGACGACAACAGGTAACACAGAATTATAGGAGGCTGCAAGTACCCAAAAAGTTAAGATGGAAAAAGATGAACAAGCACTTTTTAATTTCCTTGTTTGTTGAAAACTTCAAGAACCCCACTCTTTTGTAATATACTTATATAAGGTTTGTCGATTTTTACAATAGAGAACTCAAAATAAATATAAAAAAAACTACTTGGAATGTTAGTATCCAAAGCTAGCCTTGAGGCAATTTAATTTATATTGTACAAATGAGTACTATTTAAAAAAACTAGAACCATGTCAACCAATGTAACAAATTATTTAATCACTTTGATCAATGTGATCTTCGCCAATTATGATTTCATTAAGGCGGTGCATTTGTAATTTCAAATAAACTATGGTATATTAATAATTTAGCAGAATAACCTCCTATATGATAGTTTAGGTGGTAGAGTATCGAGGTTGATATGATATACTCTTGGATTCTCACATACCATTTTGAAGACCCGTTTTTTTTTTATTGTTTATATGCTCAGATGGCATGTTTTCATAAGTTTGTTTTGAAAACATTTTACATGCTACCAAAACGAGGTATGTGAGAAGAGAAACAAATCTTCATAAATTTATTGGGTACTCACAAAAACGAGTATATATCGTCCAAATATTTGCCTATCAATAAAGTTCACCTTGATGAATTTTTTTTTGATGAATCGGATTGTAATTAGTTATTAATTTCAACCTTTTGAATAGCCTTTATGATGTGCAAAGAAAGTCCAAACCATCAATAAATTACAAAAGCAACCAAAAAGTCACTTTCCTTCCTTCCTCTCTCCCCTCCATCCTCCATTTTACCACCACCACAAAGGACCATTCCCCTCCTATAAAAAGAGAGGGGCACCAAACCAAACCCCCAACCAACCCAAAAAACAAACATTAAACCTCTCTCTCTCTCTCTCTCTCTCTCTCTCTCTCTCTCTCTCTCCCTCCACCTCTTCAAACCTCCTTCTCATCTCCCACTTCCTCCTCAACCATGGTGATGCAAACCAGCCTGAGAGAATCCATGAACGCCAGAAGCATCGGCTCCCCGAACTGCGGGGAGACGATGGTTCTGGCCCACGGGTACGGGGCGGACCAGTCTGCTTGGGACGACGTCCTCCCCGGTCTCGCGGCCCACTACCGGGTCGTGGTCTTCGACTGGAGCTTCTCCGGCGCCGTGAAGGACCCGAACTTCTTCGACCCGGACAGGTACGCCACGTACGAGGGCTTCGCCAGCGACCTGGTTGGGCTCATCGACGAGATGGGCCTGGAATCCGTCGTCTTCGTGGGCCACTCCATGTCCGGGATGGTCGGATGCATTGCTTCTGTCAAACGGCCCGAGCTCTTCAGCCGCCTGGTGCTCGTCGGCGCTTCTCCTAGGTACCCATAATAGTAAACATATTCCGCTTTGGTACCCAAACTGTTTTTTAATATTTATTCGTTTCGTTTTTTCGCCCTTCTCCTTTCTCGTTTAGAATAATAACAAAAGTGGGGAAAAGTGGATTTTTGGCCATGTTTGGTTTTGATGTTTATCCTTTTTATTTATATGTATAACTGTATAAGCCTTTTTTCTGGTCCATAAATAATTGAATTTTGTCTTGTGTTAGTGTGTGTGAAAAAGATCCATTTCGGCCACAAAATTTAACTGATTTTCTCATCTAATATGGGTTTTATGAAATATTAAGAAAAGAATGTACATGACATTTTTTTATTAGTGATAATTACCTAAATATTTAATTCATGGATGGTATCGATGGGTTGCATATTATTCATCATGATTATAAAATTTTTTTTTGTTAACTATGGTAGGGCAGTCACTGGCCTACTGCTTTTATTAGTGTCATAAAAGGGTGAGCACACAAGATTAGAAAAAATAAAATAAAATAAAAAATTGAAAATAATTATATGTAATATTACTTGTAAATTTTTTAATAATTGGTATGATTTTATCTCCTTCTCAATTATCATTGCTCAAATCCGTACCTGAACTTAGAATCCTATGTAAACTTTTTCTTAGTTTGCTGGATTCTTCTTCTTCCCTATAATTAATGAGCCATAGCCGAACAAATTTGGAAGTTGCTCTGGCCATTTAGCTGATCTCTCTACCATGCTGAGCATTGGCCTGGTTTTCTTTAACAAATTAACGCCGGCTTGAGGTGTTATCGTTATCACGTCCATCTCTTCTGTCTTACTCTTTGTTTGTAATAGACAGCATATTACAAGATCCAATATCAAACGATACATGCCCATAAAAAATACAGCATGTGGGAGAAACATTTACATTATTACGGTGGCTTAAGTGCTATTAATGAAAACAATATTGTTTTTTTATTTTTTCATCGTTTAAAGTTTGAAAAGACTAAAAAATAATTTCGTACTGAATTACAACAACCTCACCGTAGCACGCTAATGAGGTTTAGATAACGGTGATTTGACATCGTAGGATTGTGTAACTCGTAAGTTTAATCGAAACGATAATCTCTTATAACACATCAAAAAGTTATTGACGAGGGAAAGATTACCTTTTTGGGATAGATTGGTATCTAACAATTTATTAATTTCATGTTGGTTTAAGAAATTTTCAATAAAATCTGGAAATGGTGGAAAACTTATAGTGACGAATTATAATTTATTGTGACCAGATACATGAACAGCGACGACTACGAAGGAGGCTTCGGGCAGTCGGACATCGAGGACCTAATGAACAACATCGAGACCAACTTCCCCAACTGGGCCCAGGCCTTCGCCGCGATGGTCGTCGGCGGGGACCAGCCATCCACCGCCGTCGAGAAGTTCGCCGGGTCCCTGCGGCGGATCAGGCCGGAGGTGGCGCTGGCCGTCGCCAAAACTGTCTTTTACTGTGACTATAGGGAGCTGTTGGGAAAGGTCTCGACTCCGACCACCATCGTGCAAACGACACGTGACGTGGCAGTGCCGACGTCGGTGGCTTACTTTATCCAGGAGAAGATCAGGGGGAAATCGACGGTGGAGATCGTTGATACTGACGGCCATTTCCCTCATCTGACCGCACCGAATGAGTTGCTCGATGTGCTTGGTGGAGTTCTTGGGTTTGAAGCTAATTGACAAAAGGATTGGATCAGAATGTTCATTATACAATAAAAAGTTATATATATGTTATGTTTAATTATACTAGCTAGCTGGGTTGTTTTTTTTTTTTTTGGTTTTTGGTTTTGGGGTGTGTTTGGTTGGTTGTGGGTTCTGTTGTTAATTACTTATTAGGGTTTTTTTTTTTTTTTATAAATAGAGAGCAAGGTATGGGTGATGTATTAGATAAATAATGATCCATCCTAGGAGATTGTTTGTAGAATTACATGGGTAATTATTTGGGATCACTTGATTACCATTGGATTTTAGAGAGGGAGATTGTGTTTGGTTTTGGATTTGATGTTGTGGGTTTGATATGTAGAAATGTTTGGTTTTAGAGAGGGAGATTATAATTCCTACAACTATGAAAATGAATTTCATTTTTAACCATAATAAATGATGTATTATGTTTTTATTTTTATTTTGGGAAATGAAATATGAGTGAGAGAGAAAGAGAGTAAAATGATAGTGGGTCAATAAAAAATAAAAAGTATTGATGGGTCCCACTAATTTCATCTTCATTCTCTCAATTCCTATCACTTTTGATAGGAATTGTAATTCTCAAATTTTGGACCTAATGGAATTCAATTCTCAACCTTTTAATTATTCCAAACATAATATATGGAAATGGAAATGGAATTCCAATTCCTTAGTTTTTTGTAAATCCAAACAGGCTGTTCAAGATAATTCATAATCTGGACAGAGTCCTTCAGGAAGGTATCTATTGGTTATTTTCTTATTTAACTTCATTACGAGTCCCTTTACTCTCCGTTGGTTTAACGATACTACTTTTTGTAGCACAAAAAACTCTATCCTACATAATTTAATTATTGATCGACTATTACGTCTAAATATGTTGCTTCTTATGACTTTGATTTCGATTAAAAAAGGAAAAAAAAAAAACAAACAAACAAACAAGGAAATAATAGCTTGCTCTGTTTTCTGCCATGCTCTCATGCTTATCCGGACTGGTATACGTTTCCTTCGAAGTAATGAATAATCAGAAGAAAAAAAAAAAAACACAGCACTACTGTTATAGCTAACTCAATGAAGTTGCGTAAGAACTTTTTGAGAATGAAGACAAATCGCCCCTTCTGGATATCAAAAGGACGACATGAATGAACCCAACGACCCAGCGAACGTGAGCAGATATATACTATTGTGCTGCCCCAAAAGCCGACGAAGATTCCAGCAAATTACGTAACAGCAAAAAGTAGATGACAGCAACGTTATGGTAAGTAATTAAGTAAGTGAAGTACATATAATATATAGTAGTGGAAAGTGGTTCCCTAACTACTCCATTACGCACTCGTGAATTGTATACAGTATTACTTGTACTTGTGTAACAATGACGCCAATTAATTGGACTCATATTATTATTATTATTATATATACTATAGTGAGTGTTGCATCTACACCGACGACGATCGTTTTGTTATCAAAGTTAAACACCTGAACGAGGGGCTGACTTGAATTATGGTATTGAGAGAGGAATGGGCTAAAGTCTTATCAACTATTTTAATCTCTAAATTTATACCAAATTTACATGTAATTTTTCATATATTTCAAACTAGCGACCTATTATAGCTTTGAGCCAACCCTTTCTTAAAGTTTCCAACATTTTTTCCGTTGATCGTTGATCCAATGCTCAAAATCAAAATATGATAAATATTCACATCCTCACAATTGCATTGATTAAGTATCAACCCTGAACTCGAACCCTAAATCCAGAATTATTCAGTAAAAAAAGGCTTCTGTCTCCATTCGGACTTAAGCCCAATAATTTCGCTCTCTTTCTACATGCGGCCAAAATCCACACTAATTGCATCTTTCTAATATTTTACGAGGCCCATCTTTTCTCTCATCACTAAACTGGGACACGCTGTGACGTTTCAACTCTCTCTCCTCCACTCCGTCTCTCCCTTCTGTGATCTGTCCCCCACTTTCACTGTCTACTAAAATTTCCGTGACTGAATAAAAGCGAAAGGTAAAAAAAAGGAAAAGAAATGAAGAGCATCTTCTTCTCGGCATCACAGCTCCTCTCAAGATCAGCGGTTCTCTTCGTCACAGCTCGCTCCCCTGCTTCCCCGTCGCGACACGTTCACTCCGGCTCTCCCTCTCCTGCAACTCCGCCTCTCTTTTCCCCGCCCAAAGCTTTGCGACCATGGGCGGCGTCGGCTGCCGACGAATTCGTCAAGGGGAACATCCATCCAACGGCGTCGCTGTCATCACTCTCGACCGTCCCAAAGCTCTCAACGCCATGAACCTAGGTAATCCGATTTCTTCTCTCACTCTCTGTCATCTCTTTCGCTCGCGTTGAACTAGTTGTTTTCTGATCACCAATTGACTGGACTGTGAAGAGTCGAATTGATCCAGTTTTGATGTCGATGAGCTTGCTTAGGTCGAGTTTTAATTGTGTAGCTCTTTCGTCGTACAGATATGGACATTAGATACAAGAGTTTCCTTGATGAATGGGAGGCGGATCCGAACGTGAAGTGCGTGCTAGTGGAAGGCAGCACTCCTCGCGCTTTCTGTGCAGGTAAATGATAGGGGATTGATTGTACAGTGTGGTTAAACTCTACTTCGTTCGATCCATGTCTATACCGAAAGCGGCATTTGTCTAGACTCCTTGTGATTGTGAATTTATGCAGGGTATTAGTGAATTTGAGAATCTGAGTTACAGTTCAGTTCAGTCTCGTAATCTCATTTTCTTGTATGTTGGGGGGATGATTTTGAGGGTGGCAATGTATGATAACTGCAGGAATGGATATTAAAGGGGTTGTTGCTGAAATTCGCCAGGACAAAAATACGCCTCTTGTGCAGAAGGTGCTTTATGCACTTTAGAGCTACCATTTCTTTCTGTTTCATTTCTGTTTGCGTGGTTGTGTTGTGAGCTATTACGAGCTTCGTTTTGTTTCTGATTGTGTTGCCTTTTTCTGGTTTTGTTGTTGGTTCATGGTTTTTTAGCATTCGTTTTAGTGGATTCAAGTACAAAGATAGTAGTTTATTTGCAGGTGGTGATGTGAAGACTATTACAACAAAAAAACAACTCTCCGACGTGATTGAGGTCTTGTTGTGTTCTTCCTGTTACTTTAAATTAAGGCTTGGCTAGATTTGGCTGTCTCGCCAATTGTGGAGTATGACACTTATGTCTCACTAATTCTGATTCATCTGGTCAATCTTTTCAATAATGTAGAGGATGTTGTTGGCACCAGTTAGTCTTGTCATGAATGAATAATGTGTGAAACCATTTGCCAGACCCGACGCATCTGGTCAAGTATTATGGATTCCATCTGTATTCCAACTTTTGAGTAAACTGTGGATTTGTTTACTTGTAAACTTTCAGTTTTTGCTGTCATGGCTGCACATGCTTCAATGGCATTTTCTTTCAGGTGTTCACTGCAGAATACTCTCTGATATGCAAAATCGCTGCATATAAGAAACCATATATAGCTCTTATGGATGGGATAACAATGGGGTTTGGACTAGGTCTATCTGGCCATGGTCGCTACCGAATTATAACAGAGGTACTATTTCCCTTTAAGAAATAGGCCACTGGTATTATGACATTGAGAATGATTTCTGACTCCTTTTCTGATATTCTGAATTCACAGAAGACGCTTCTAGCTATGCCGGAAAATGGAATTGGCCTGTTTCCTGATGTAGGGTTTTCATACATAGCAGCACAAAGCCCAGGAGAAGGATCAGTTGGTACGGTTCCTTTTTGTGTTGTTCCATCCCCCTTTGTTTTCAACCATATCACTAGATTTGACCGGTATCTGATTATTCCAGGAGCTTATCTTGGATTGACTGGGAAGAGGATTTCTACTCCCTCCGATGCACTATTTGTAGGCCTCGGGACACACTATGTCCCATCTGGAAACTTAGGATCATTGAAGGAGGAGCTTTTGGCTGCTAACTTGTACGTTGCATACTATCCTGATTGGCTTACTATGTAACCAAATTAATGAGTTTTCTTTTGATTTTCCAGTGATACTCATATTCAAGACAGTTGAGTCTTTACAATTGTAGTGCTTGGAGAATCAGCTCATCTTATGCAAAATGCTTGGCTCTGGTTATACTTGCGTTGTGCTCTCCGATATCAGTGTCTTGTATTGAAAAGCTTGTGCATGTGGTTTATGTAGTTCCCAAGATCCACATCATGATGTCAAAGGACTTATAGGGAAGTACAAGCATGACCCTGAGACAGAGGCCCCGTTAAAGTTACTCTTGCCTCGAATCATCTCTACATTTGGTGGACATAAGTCGTTAAAGGAGATTATTGAGGAGCTGAAACAGCATAAACAGAGTGCCGATACTAAAGGTTACCTTGTTCATCCTTGTGTCCCGATAAATGTCTGTGTTTCCCTCTTCTGCTGCAAGTTTTTTTAGACTGATTTCAACATTGCTTCTGTCAGTGGCAGAGTGGGCCACCGAAGCTCTTCAGGGTCTTGAAAAGGGTGCTCCATTTTCTCTTTGCCTGACACAAAGCTACTTCTCCAAAGTTGCATCCGCCTATGGAAGAACCTCCAATGAATTATCAACAGTGAGCTCCTTTTCTCCTTGTTTGATCCGCTGAATTGAGCTTGGTAATGTTGTATGGCTGCAACACTCTGATATCTTTGATCTCGTGGATCCAGCTAACTGGAGTAATGAGAACCGAGTATCGCATTGCCTTGAGGTCTTCTCTGCGCAATGATTTCGCTGAAGGTGTCAGAGCAGTATTGGTGGACAAAGATCAGGTTAGTATGCCACATTGCTTATGATATTTGAGTTAATATTATCCGGTTCTTGCCCTTGCATCTTTAAAACCACTGCAATATACCCACTCATCAGTTGCGAATGGGTCCGAACTGATTGCAGAACCCCAAATGGGAGCCACCAAGCCTGGAAGAAGTTGATCATAATGAAGTGGAATCTCTGTTTAAGCCATTGGGTTCAGAAACTCCAGAGCTGGAAGTGTAAGTCCTGCCAACAAAGCATAGTGATGTTCGCTCCCGACTCTTCGGGCATCAGTGTCAGGTGTACTTGCGTTCTGAAGGACAGTACAATGTGACATCCATCTGTTGTAATAAATCCTCCACGCTTTATCCACCTTCTAGCATTGTGCTTATGATATGCCCATGTTTCGTCTAACATCGAACGAGTGTGAACTCGTCCCATTACTTCTTTTGGTGATTTTCTATGTTTTCCTCGCGTCGAAATCCAGCTTTCAATCCCTTTAAAGAGAGCTGGTAAATCCGCACAAGCAGGGCTTCGTATATAAGTTGGCACTATGGTTAAACACAAGGTATTTGAATTTTTGTTCCATGAACAAAATGTACATGAATTAACAAGCCAAACCAGTTTAACATTGGTTCTGCGAAACCAGTGAAAGCCAAACACTCTTAACAGTCTACACTAACATGAGACACTTATCAAACAACACTCATAAACCGAAGCCATAAATTCAGAAGACGCTTCGTTATGGTTATCTTCAACCTGGGTTCATTTCCCTGCGTTCATGTGAGGAGACTTCCTTCTGCTGGCTAGTTTAGCAAGTCTGCAACAACCTGAGTTCATTTCCTACATGAGATTCTATCGCAGCAAGAGACCCATACCAAATAGCACATTGTCGACTGAAATGCAGAACCCTTTCAGTACAGGTGAAACTAGATGTTCTTCAGGAGCGTACGTAGACGAAATAGACCTCCTCTACGAGCAATGATCACCACTCCGAAACAGGTCCAAGTACCCCCTGGCTTTCACTCATTGCAACAATTAATTAAGAAATGAGACACCTAATACATGGTTGAATACTTACTTCTTGTCCCGAGTTGCTGGTGACAACATTTGACATATAACCTTGATTTCACAACATATGACCCATGTAGCTAGCTTTATGGACACTTGTAGAAGTAGCCAATGACATTTGGCCCCAAAGAAATTCTTTGCATGTCATCTCTAATGATAATAAAGAAGCGCATATAATGATGATCCATTCTCAAAATGGCGGAAGTTTATTAGACATAGCATTATAAGAATCATATGGATCGCACCCCATCAGAACGTACCCCATGCATAACAAAGAAATAATGATGCTTAATTTAAGACTTCATTTCAAAAGTAAACAAAGTACACAAATGAGAATAGTTCAACCATATATATATTAAAAGAGATTTAAATAGTTCAACCGACATCCTGACTGACCATAAATATTAAAAGAGAATAAAATACTGACACCGACATCTTGGCCGACTGATTGAGTAAAATCCTCATATGAAAAATGAAAGACAAACCCCATGATAGGGAACCGACTTCTAAAATTATTTTGAAATAATTCTTTTATTTACTCCTCATCGTCTCCACGTTTTCTACTTTGCTGCTTGTTTTCAGTTCCTACGACATCGACAACATCAGCACGTCCATCCATTGTAGTTGGTTTGTCGTCGTTGGTGTCACATTATTCTCCATTAAATGTTGACGCCTCCTCTTGCATTTTAGGAGTTTCTTCCATATTTTTCTGCATTAAATGTTGACAATTCGACGTTAGCTGGACATACCTCGATCAATTCAGGCAGATCATTTGAATTGTTGTTTTTCTCATCCTTCCCTATCTTGATAATTATGTATTCACTTGTAGGGTTAGCGATGTTGTAATCAGTGAGCTTGATGAAGAACTTCAACGTCATTCATTCAATTTTTTAGGCGATGAGTCGGTGGTGGTCCTCTCTTTTGTTCGTTGTCTTGGAATAGTTTTTTTTGGATATATGCCAAAAAATTGATCGGCAACTTCATCCATAATAACAAAGTCAGCTTCAGTTGTTTTGTCCGCAACTTGGAGGTGGATCCTGAATCTATGATTGTAAAGAAGAACAAAAATCTTGAGTGGTTAGCAGAAAATTTAACCATTGAATTAATATATTGAAATTGTGGCGTAAACTAATACCGATGGGGAGGCCAAATGGGAGCATTAGATAAACATAACATCAAATGGAATGAATCTCAACATTTTGTAATCTATCAGCCATCATTTATAATGTATAATTACTCATGTTTTTTTTTTAAACCTTTGAGTCAATGACTATCATATCGAGGTGAAGAACAACATTGATATTGGGATTGATTGTCAGCCACTTCCTTGAAATGCGACATTGGATAGTCCAGTTTCTCTTTTGAGTTGTCAAATCGGATATCAGTTGGAATTGCATATTGACTAAAATGTCATGAAACATAAGTCAATAAATTAATTTCGATTCACATGGAACATTAGTGTACATAAAAAACCGAGATTACACCCTTTCTAAAATAAGTTGTTGAGATTATATAATCATGTATTTTCCCTAGGTAGTAAAGGTGCTAAAGTAAATTTTAAAGTATGATTGAATAATTGCAGGAGGTTAGGAACGTTGGGGCGAATCTATAAGATATATGATGGAGATTCATGACTCAACTTTCTTCCATTTCAAATTTTCTGCAACGAGAGTGAAAGTAGGAAGGGTACTTTCGTCATTGCAATTGTTTATTTTTTTATTTGAAAAAAATATCAGTGTCAAGATTTGAACCCGAGTCTCTTCTAACAAGGACAAGAGTCATAACCAATAAGACTAAACAAATTTGTTGCATTTATTTATAAAAAAAACATACAAGAGGCAAAATTCTGAAAATCAAATGACTTTTCCAGCACAGTTAGCTACCCCACTAAGTCTTTCTTAAGCATTTTTAGTGTTGGATCTTTGATTATCATTTATTATTTTATTTTGACTTCAATAATAATGGTAGTCTATCTTATAAATGGAGGATAATCTTAAAACCGCAATCCAAATATCATTTATTCGAATATTGCATATCAAATTACAATATTAAATATATATGTGCACACACAACCACATATATATGGGTCAGACTGGTGTACTCCTGGAGTATATTATACTTCAGGTACTCTTCGTGAGATATCTCTATCTAGACCATGATTTTTAACCGAGTTTGGGGTATGATACTCTACCCTAACCTCTAATGGATAAACCCCAGGCCCCGATTCTCTAAACTCAAACCCAAAGTTTAATTTAATGGAAAATTATAATTGACCATTGAGATTGATTGGAGCTCAACAAAGTACATCTAATGTCTAGATCATGTGGAGTATACTATACTCTTGGAGTATACCAGTATACTATACTCCTGTAGTATACCAGTATGTGTGTGTGTAGTGTTTTCTATCATATTTTGAGTAAAATCAAAAGGTAACTCATACCCTTGGTAAGAAATGGCAATCTAGACTTTGAATTAACCTGATTTCGAGACGAGACACTATATTCTAACCCTTGACGAGTGAACTCTAGGTCTTAACTATTTAAATCATAGATCCTAAACTAAGGATTATAAAACCTCATCAGAGGTTGTACCGAAAAAGTCGGCAAGAGGGTATTTTATGCGAAAACTGTGGTTAACCGTGATTCAGTCGTTTCACAACACTACATAGTGCCTACTGGTTTAGTCGAACCCCCGGTACGTTAAGGGTTTTCAATCCTTGCCCTAAACACTAAGATTATGCACATAATTTTTTTGATGTATTTTGATGAAACACGACCTTCGATTATTGTTTCTAATAAAATTGATCTTAGTATATGAGCTTCATAGAATTAAGACCTAGATTTTAATCTGTAAGGGCTTAAGGTATAGTACCATGTCCCTAGCTCCGGCCACTAGACATCATTTTCATATTCAGAGTATATCATTCAAGGTCTATATATCATTTCCTTATGTAATTTTCTTAATCAAAATATGATAGAACCACCCATACTTATAGTTGTGTTATCCTGCTGGAAAGTCATTTGTTCTAAATGTTAGTTGGTTGGACTGCAGTTTTATCAGGGTTGTATGTTGTTTGAAACATTTTGAACTTCATTAGTCCAATATTTTTAGTACTCCTATATTATTTAGGGATAATATCCTATTTTGTGTTGAACTTTGATGTAAACAACAATTTTGGCATGAACATTCAAATAAGATAGTTTTGTCCGAATTTGAAAGAAATTAACAAATTTGACCCGAAATTTGGGTCGGTTATTAATATTGAGGGTCAAACATTTCTTTTTTTTATGACTCAACATACAATGTTAAGGTGACTGTGGTGTGACTTTCACGTCATAGGTATAATATGCTATTTTGCCCTACACTTTCAAATAAGACAGTTTTGTACGAATTTTCAAAGAAATGAATAACTTTGACCCAAAATTTAGGTTGCCGTTAATATTGATGAGAGGGGTACAAAGAGAGATAGTTTCGTGCTTTGGGATTTTTGGGGGCCTGAATCAATTTCTTTTTCCTTTTAATATGATTTATGCAAGTAAATATGAAAATATTAGGATATACTAAGGGTCCTATTTTGTGGTATTTTTTTCTTCTGAAAAATTCACTTTTTTAGACTTTATAAATAAATGACTTGGAAGCCACATCGCAACCGAAACCTCTCTATCACAACTGTCAATATTAAAGGTCAACCCAAATTTCGGACCAAATTTGTTCATTTCTTTCAAAGTGCAAACAAACCTATCTTATTTGAAAATTCGAGCCAAAATTGTTTTTTACATCAAGTTCATGCCAAAATAAGGTATCATCCCTATGACATGGAAGCCACATCGCAATCGCAACCACCTGAGCATTGTATGTTGAATGGATGAAGAAATTTTTAACTTTTAATATTAACGAACAACATAAATTTCAGTCCAAATTTGTCCATTTCTTTCAAAATTTTGAAAACTGTCTTATTTGCAAGTTCATGTCAAGTTTGGCTTTTACGACAAACTTCAAGGTCAAAATAAGGTATATCCCTATTATTTATGGTCAACTTACCAATCAAAGTAGTCAGTGAAAGTATCAGCAACACTGACAAAGACAAACATATGTAATTCAAAATTAGTTGCACTCAGCCTTAAGTTTGAAGCTCTCTTGAGAACCCGGACTATTTTCTAGGCATCTTCGGGGACTACGACTAGCATGCTTCCAAACCAGCTGATCCTTATTCTACTTTCTATGAAGAGGAATAATATGGGTGTATCTGTTAGACATTAATTAGGGTTACAAATGATCTCATTCCTAAAATCTGTTAGAGACCAATCTTTTTCTTTCCTTCTGAGGGTTCATTATGTATGTTTTAGGAAAAACAACTCTAATCTTGAACTATTTGCCATTTTTAAGTATTGAAAACCTATTATTTTGTATGTTTTTCTTTTCTTCTTTGAACAATTACATTTCTTTTTTCAGTGATATGTCGTATCTTCCTATTATATTGTAAGCATGTTATATGAA